GGGGTGGGTGGGTGGGGGGGGTGCAAGTACAAGGTGTGACTCGCCACTTTGCTCAAGAGGTGCTACAGAGACCACAAAGCTAAGCTGGATCTCAAACCCCCGGGTGGTGTGATGAGTCACTTTCTGCCTGGTGTTAGTCACAAACGCACACGGACCCAGTCGCAGAATCAGGTCGACACAGACGTACCCATACCACACTACAGAGTTAAAGTAACGTAGCGCTGAAAGCTTCTCCTAAAATCTGATTGGATGTAGTCACAACAGGGATCGACGCTCCAAACTTTTGACCACTGTTTCCATGGCGATAGATTCTGACATCTTCGGCTGTGACAAGATGTTTTGGTGATGAGGGATGGGTGGGTGGGGTTGGGGGGTGGGTGCACTGCAAAGATTTGAGCACTCAAAGGAAGCTGTCAGATCATCCTGATCAATCAATAAATAAACTGATAATCAACACACTCAAGGATGAGGCTACAGCATTCTGACTGCAGGCAAAAACAATGAAACCCGGTGACCTCCTCTGAGACCAAAGAAACACACACACACACACACACACACACACACACACACACACTCTCTTAGCAGCCCACAAAACCCACTGACGTATTTTGATATTCAGTGACGCATCAGGCCAGGAGGAATATTTCCTCCTAGCTAATTGGAGTACAATGTGGTGATAATGAGGCAAATTGGGGTTTTTGTGGGTGACAATTTGCATCCCCATTAGTGCAGTCATCTAGAGAAATACTATTATGCTACAGTATTTTGTTAGTTTACAGTAAATACCGAAATGTATGTTTGACTGGTAGATTCTGAAGATATGCACTAAGGGTGAATCCATCAATTACTCTATGCAGTAGTCAAGTATGTGTACAATATACAAAAAAAATTTTTTTTTAAATTGTCATTGTTAATCAGTGTCAAGGCAGCAGCCCAACATTTGTTTTAGAGCCAGAAAGTATGCAGTTCTATTTGTTTTCTTAGGCCCCTCAGGTTCATTTGGGTTCATCTGAAGATCCCAGCAGGGGTGTTACACACAAGAGTGAGTGTGTGCCAGACCTCACTGATGTGTTCAAATGACTACAGAAACTTAAATGACCTCAGACAAGCAAAGATTAGAGGGCGTTAAGGCTAGTGTGAATGGCTGATGGCTGCACAAACATGTAAAACAAAGCAAGCAAATGTTTTGC